GGGGCAGCAAAGAGATGGCACAGAGGCTGCCCCCTTCCCACACTGCTTCTCGGGAACTATACAAATGCCTCCCACTATTTGCATGGTAATTTACCTATCACCAGCTTCCCAAGAGGCAAGAGGCGGTGCATCCCTAACAGAGCTCAGCGATGTCCTGCCCTGGCAGACATGGGATGGAGACTGCTCAGGCCACGCTGGGAGGAAAATCTCTCCTGCACTTTCTCCTCCGTCTCTCCAAGGTCAATCAGGATCTCACAAAGTCTGCGACCGAGAAGGAAGGGCTGAGTGATCTACCCGTCTCCTACAGTGAAGTCAGGCCAGTGTAGACGCGGCCACCACCAGAAGTCAGCCAGCCTCCATTTCGAGGCCTGGGCCTCTTTCTGTCCTCCTCCCTTGTCCAACCAAGCTTGCTTGCAAGAAAGGTTCTTTTCTCTCATCCTTCACATCTTCACATGAGATTGAAGCAAGCTCCCTTATGCCGGGGATTTAGCTCAGTGGTTCCACCACCTGCCTCTCAAGCGCAAAGTCCTGAGTTCGATCCCTGGTACCAAAAAACCAAAAACAAACAAAAAACTCCCTTGCAGGCCTACTTGATTTGGATGCTTTTGGTTGTTGTTGCTCTGAGGACTGAACCGGCTCTTCCCATGTGCTAGGCGATTACTCTACCCCAGCCTGCGGCACCTGCGTCTCATTGGAAATACTCTTTTGTCACAATCAAAGCAGAAATCACCGGTTGGTGATGAAGTCCTGACATCCTAGGAACACAGAGCAACGAAACAGAGCCACTGAACGTCCAGGGCAAGGCAGACCCACCCGGCTCAGATTCACAGCAGCCATGTGGGAAGGAAGTAGGAGGCGGATGGATGGAACCGGCCATCTGTGTGGGGGCCGAGTTCTAGTTCTTTTTGGAACCACAACCTTACTGCCCTGGCTACAGTTGACTGCACTGTGTTGGGGCCCACATGAGGGCTGCTGTCTGCAGAGCTTAGCATCAGCCAGGAACAGGGTGTGCCGTAAACACAAGACAGTCACTGCACCCTATGACCCAGCCAAGATCCTGGGGAACGTCAGACCCACAGGTGTCCCGGAATCATTGGTCACCAAAGGCTAGAAAGTAAGAACCGCAAGGTAGGTGGACCCCAGGGCAAGCAGAGCCCGGGCACAGACAAGGAGTGCAGAGAAGGAAAAAAACCAGACAAAGCCAAATAAGCAGAGGTGGAGATACAGAAACAAAAGTGCTGCCGACTTCTCAGGCCACTGTACCCATGCAGGGCAGACCGGCACCAGGCCCAGGGCCTTGTCCTTCAGGGCAGCTGCTGTGGACACGTGGTACGAGGTAAAGCAAATGCACTATTCAAGTTAATTTCACCTGTTTCATTTACAGCACCTTTTAGAAGCCCTAAAATTAGATTAGATCTATGAGAGGACCAAGAGATGGAGAGAGGGATCAGGGACATTTTAAAAAGAATTAAGGGGTGGGCCGGGGATTTAGCTCAGTGGCTCTGCCACCTGCCTCGCAAGTGCAAGGTCCTGAATTCGATCCCCAGTACCAAAAAACAAACAAAAAAAAGAATTAAGGGGTGAACCAGGTGTGGTGGTGCACACCTGTGATCCTGGCCCTCAGGAGGCTGAGGCAGGAGGATTGCCACAAGCTCACCATCAGCCTGGGCTACACAGTGAGATCCTGACTTAAAAACCCAAAAAGAATGAAGATGTGTTATGTACATGTACCAACTCCTCCCAATGAATGTAATCGTTATGCACTACAAACATGTACTAATAGAAATTTTTCATATACACCAAGCAGAAAACCAAAAAATAAAAATATTGTAAAATTAGATAGGTGGCTCATATTGTACTTCCTTTAGCCAGTGTTTCTGCCATTTCCTCTGTGAAATTTTACTTTTCTGGCCCTAACACTTCTCTGAGAACCATAATAATAAGCCTACGCTCACTGGAATTAACTAGAAACATCTAAAAGTCACGCCTGCCACACACATTAACTAGAAAAGCCCTTTCCCACAAGACTTCCGCAGAGGAGGATTAATAGTTAAACAAGGCAGCCACTGATCCCAGCACCCCACCCCCCACCCCCCAGAAACCACTTCAGGTGCTAACTTTTGTAGTGGTCTAAAGTGCATGAATTAGTGAGTGTTTTCTATTTGCTGAAGGTATTGATAACCAGTGGTGTAAAAATTCAGTTCCAGTACAGACATCATGTTAAAAAGTCAGGGTGCTACCCTCAACTTCTGTTCAAGAAATTGACTACAAAGGCAGCATTCTGGGAGGCTGAGGCAGGAGCGTGGCAAATTTAAGTTCAGCAGGGTCAACTTACAAATTTAGCAAGATCTTGTCTGAAAATTTAAAAATGGCTGTGAATGTAGCTCTGTGTGAAGGCTGTGGCTACAATCCTTAGTACTGCATGAATGGATGAATGAACAAGCCTGGGCCCGGGGTGGAAGAGTCCAAGACCATCTTTGTTTTTTTTTTGGTAGAACCCGGACTCAAACTCAGGACCATGTGCTTGTCAGGCAGGCGAGGCATCACTGAGATAAATCTCTGGCCCCCAAGGTCCTCTTAGCTGCAGTTGCCCCATCTCTGCTTCCTCAGTGGTGCTCCTGGCCAAGGAAGCTGCCCACCCTCTTCCCAGTCCTCAGGTTCTGCTGTGTCCCATCCACTACCCACGGCTTTTATTCAAGAGTTAGGTAGAGTCAGTCCCACCGCAAGGCTGAATACTATTCCATTTCGTACAAATGTAAAATACAACCAACCAAAACCTATACAACAGCTCTGCTCAACGAGTGGGAGTCACAGCCCATCTTTTTTGTCGTTGTTGTTGCTATCTCATCTCGTAGGAGAAACCCAAAGTATAAGTTATTTATTGGTACATTTAGATATGCACAATAACCTTCATCATGGTGAATTTGTACCGGTACACGATCTATCTTGCTTTTTCCCCCATCCTTTTTGTACAAAAGTTATTTCCATTTTTTTCTTCTAATTTTCTCTTTCTTTCCTAGTCCCTTCTTTCCTTCCCCTCCTGCCTCCCTTGTTCATTTGGACATTTGAACATTTTCTTCCCCTTTCCCAATGTCTGCGGTACGTTTTAGTCCCTATCTCCCACTTTGGTTTCTCACACCAGAGAAACAATGCAGCATTTAAATATGTGTGTTTGGTTTATTTCACTTAAGAGTATGGTCTTAAGGTGCATCCATTTAGCTAAGACTCTTCAAGTATTTTCAGACTGAATATTCTTTTTGTTTGTTTTAACCCCCCCCCCGCCACTTTTTTTTTTTTTTTT